ACTTTTTTATGTGGAGAAGTGACTCTCGATTTTTAGTAGCATGTTGAAGAACAAAATCTAACCCATTGCAAAAACGACAAGTTTGCCACGATCGCGGAAACAACTTAACTTACATAAGATACTAAAAAGTTGTCATAACAGAGAGCCGTAAACGGCCAAAACATCTGTGTTAAAGTATATTCCATCTAATAACCATGGCGATTTCAAGGGGATGGTCAACGAGACCTTAAGTGAGAAACAATGTTGGTTTCGCATTTTGAAAACTCAAGCGGATGATAGTCACGCGCTTAGTCACGCGCTGGGTCACGTGCTTTAACCTCCATTCAATCAATGCAATTAACAAATAATGAAAACCATAACGATCCTTGGAATTATACAGCGTTAAAATTCACTTCTCTCACTCATCTGTTAACCAATATTTTAGCTTACCCATCACATTTGAGTGCAATTTAGTTCTAAAGAAAAAGATTTGGATAAACCAATAGCATATTTAGCAATATATTTCGTTTTCGTGTGTTAAACTGTGTTAAATTACTCGCTAAGCGTGACATTGATCACGCTTACCCAAATAAAAGACAAAGCGTGCTAACTTGACCAAACCAAACCATAGTGTCTTTCATTGGTTAAAAATAATATATGCGCTTATTAGACACACTAAGCGTGTTGTGATAAAGTGTTGTTAGCGTGTTATGACCTTTCTCCCTGAAATCGTATGGCGGGGTCACAAATGGTCGCATCTACTATAATCTGAACAATATTAATTCTTTAAATAAACCATAACCAGAAGGTGTGCGGGGTTTCTCAGCAATTATGATAAGACATAATATTCTTGTGGTTACATGGAGAAACGATTGATTGAGAAATAGTATGATGTCAACTAAATATGTTGGAGACAAAATCATACCGGTCAAACCCAAGTAAAAATATAAGGTGGGATCCCGCAAATCCCAGCTGAGATCCCAGGTGTGTCCCAGGTGGGATCCCGCCTTTTTCAGGTGTGATCCCAAGTGGGATCCCACCAGGGATTATGGAACATTCCGCATGGGATCCCACAAGAGGTCCCACTAATTGAGGTTGGGATCCCACCTTAAATTCCTAATAGCATCCCACCCAGGAAAGCACATCCCAGGCGGGATAAAACCTGGAATCCTACCAATCCCTCTTGGGATCCTACCTCAAATTTCAGATAGTTTCCCACCTGGGAAATCATATCCCAGGCGGGATCACACCTGAAATCCTGCCTATCCCAGACTAGACCCTGCATAAAATTTCAGATGGCTTCCCACTTTAAGAAAAATCCTTAGAGGGGTCCTGTCTAACACTGGAGACTACAGATCTATGAAATGTACTAGATGGGATATCTTATCAATCCCTTTGGTAACCTTATCTTTCAAATTAAGAGGATAAAATTTTCTAGGTGAGCTATACAGACCCCATCAATCCACTGAGGGTTCAAAACTTTCCAACAAGCTAGAGAACATACTAACACCTCCAATGGGATCCCATTATCT